TAACATTACTTTGCAAGGTAAGCACAACCAAAATAAGTTTGTAAAAGCAGAATTTGAACACTGTTTCTGTGCTCCTACAATATTTTTGGATAATACCATTACACCCTGAGCGTACAAGTACACAATAGCGATCGTTCACTGTTTCAACTGGCATGCTGTGGCATTTAACCTCATCATCATCACACACACACACACACACACACACACACACACACACACACACACACACACACACACACACACACACACACACACACACACACACACACACACACACACACACACACACACACACACACACACACACACACACACACACACACACACACACACACACACACACACACACACACACACACACACACACACACAGCAGTGGTGAGGATCTCAGCCTGCCACTGACGTTCAACCAGAAAACATCAGCCGTTAGCTGTTAACAGTTAGCAGTTAGCACACAGAGCTCACAGCTCCTCATATCTGTTCAGAAACTGGACAAAAGTTAAACAAGTACACACCACAGACTGTCTATATCATGGCGAATACAGTCGCTGGTTTATTTATGTCTGTAGGCCGTTGTTGTGAGTGTGGACGGAGTAGGCCTATAACGTTAGCTTAGCCTGGTCGACCCGATCTTCATTTAGAAAACACGCATTTTAAATATGTTTTTGCCAGCCGTCTGTCTGCAGACTTGTCAAAGCATTAATTTGTGGTTTTTACTAACCGGTATCAGTATGTTGTTACTTCGGCATTATTTAGAAACGTGTATTACAATTTAATCACGGTAAAATATATTCATTTTGTTGTAGTTGTAGCTCCCGAGCCAGCGCATCTTGTTTGAATGATGCCAGTAAACACAGCTGGCAGCCGCGGTGAAACCATGGGTGAAACTCGAGCGTTTAGAGCGATGGGAGCGAACAACGACCCCTGATAGATCTCGCGAGAATGTGTATAAATATAGATACTGTAGAGCAGGGGTGGCCAACCCGCGGCTCTCGAGCCGCATGCGGCTCTTTGCCTAGTTTCATGCGGCTCTTCAGTTCATATCGAATTGTATATGTGTGAGTTTGGGGGAGAGACACTGACTCCTGACTAGTGTTGCACGGTGTACCGATACTTGAAAGGTATACCGCGATACCCTGTCGTTAAAAACGTTACGATTCCTCCGTTTCATTAGTATCGGTACTTTAAGAATGACGGGGGAAAGTATCCGGTGAGAAAGCGCTGTTTTAATAAGAGCCGTGTGTGTTCAGCGCTCTGCTTCCACTCCCTGCACTGCAGCCGTGCCTGCAGTCCCTCCCTCTCAAGCACGCTCTAAATCCCTCCCCTCTCTCGTGCACGCGCTAGCTGCCAGAGCATGTGAGAAAACGAGAAGCATGGCTGCAAGTGGGAGTGCTATGGCAAGCCATTTGAGTATTTATTCAATTTCCTTGATATCAGACGGCAGCGGACTACACTAGTTGGCTCTTTGATTTCACTTGTTAGATATATGGTCAAACTAGTCAGGCACTCTGCTTTACTAGTTGAATAAAACATTTCACTAGTCGCTCTTTTTCAGCAACTAGTGGCACTTTTGTCCGACTAGTTACCACGTATGCCTTACTAGTGACGCCAGGAGCAGCACTAGTAGCGCCAAAGTCCCAACGTGTAAGCTTTTTTGATGAACTAGTGGCCCTCTGACCGTACTAGTGACCCTAAAAGTCTTACAAGTTAACTAGTGCGCTGCAAAAGCTCTGACATGTTAACTAGTCACACAAAGAAGCACAACTAGTTAACATGTCAGAGATTTTGCAGCGCACTAGTTAACTAGTCGCACCCAGAATCACTCACTAGTTAACTAGTAAAGGCAAAATGTTCACTAGTTAACTAGTTGACGCCTCTTTTGACCTTACTAGTTAACTAGTGGGGCTCAAAATGTCTACACGTTAACTAGTGAACCCTTTGCCTTTTACTAGTTAACTAGTGAGAGACGTTTAAATTCCACTAGTGAACTAGTGAGGCTTAAAATGTTCACTAGTAGCACTAATGGATCCCAAATGTGCACTAGTCACACTAGTTGCACAGAATGCTAATGAGGAGGAGGGGAAAGAACGCATCAGGTCTCCTATTGGCCCTAAGATATAGAGCGCCACCCAGCCAAAATAGTTTATTTAAGAGCTTAAATACACTGTGTTTTAAAATATGACCATATTTACAAAAATATAAAACAAAAGTATTTTGTTATTATGATCATATGACTCTTTATCAAATTCGGTAAGAACATTGAAGACTTTCTTAAAATTAGAAAGTTGCCTTAGGACTGCAGACAGGAATATAGATCCTCTTTAACACATTTTATTAAGCTGCAATTTCAAAGGTGCTTGGATTAGAATAGCATTGTGATAACAGAGGGACATTATTGATGGATAGAAAGAGGGAGTAACCCTCTTCGGATCACAGCTTTGAGAGATCGCCGTGACTTCCGTAAATATTAGTCTTGGCAAATATGGAGAGGTTGTTTATCTTCATACGGATCTATCGTTACCCTGATTTTAAGATCTGTCCAGTGTTTCAGCTTTATTTATTTCTTGAGCACCGCTGATAACATGTCCCACGATCACTCCCTCTACTTTTGTGTCTCGAGTGCCGGTGTTCTCACACACAAGCGTGCGCACATTCGCACCAACAAAAACACACACACAAAGCGGAATATAGCAGAAGCAGAAACATGTATATTTCTAGGCAAAACACACACTGACTGACTTCCCACGGACAATATGTTAACAGTAGGCACTAAATACCCGACTGATGCACCTCACGTCTTCAAGACCTTGCTAAAAACATCGCAGAAGAACGCCCCCTCAGGCTCTCCCTCACAGAGCTGAACTGACCAATCAGAATCTGGGTCCCGCCTGCTTCATTTGCCTATGGCTGACTAGTTAACGTGTTGGCCATATGAACGGCAACTAGTTAACTAGTGGATACATATTGCAGCTTACACGTTAACTAGTGAAGGCAAAATGTTCACTAGTTAACTAGTTGAATCCTGTTTTGGTCTTCTAAGCTGACTAGTGAGGCTCAAAATGTGCACTAGTTAACTAGTGAGGTCCAAATTGTCCACTAGATGCACTAGTACAATTATTTTTACCTTACTAGTTAACTAGTCACACACACACTTTAGCTCACTAGTGAACTAGTGAACTAGTGAAGCCTTAGAGGAGTCACTAGTAAACTAGTGACACAGATGTTTTTCTTACTAGTTAACTAGTGGAGGGTATTTTTTCTCACTAGTGAGGTTTTGTCATAAACATGTTAGACTTTGACCTGACATGTTACACATTTTTCTTACATGTAAGGCCTTTCCTTCAACTAGTTTGGCTTTTTTTGCACTAGTGAGCAACTGTATGCAACTAGTTTGCTATTGATTCAACATGTATGTATGGCAAGCCATTTGAGTATTTATTCAATTTCCTTGATATCAGACGGCAGCGGACTACACTAGTTGGCTCTTTGATTTCACTTGTTAGATATATGGTCAAACTAGTCAGGCACTCTGCTTTACTAGTTGAATAAAACATTTCACTAGTCGCTCTTTTTCAGCAACTAGTGGCACTTTTGTCCGACTAGTTAACACGTATGCCTTACTAGTGACGCCAGGAGCAGCACTAGTAGCGCCAAAGTCCCAACGTGTAAGCTTTTTGATGAACTAGTGGCCCTCTGACCGTACTAGTGACCCTAAAAGTCTTACTAGTTAACTAGTGCACTGCAAAAGCTCTGACATGTTAACTAGTCACACAAAAGAAGCACAACTAGTTAACATGTCAGAGATTTTGCAGCGCACTAGTTAACTAGTCGCACCCAGAATCACTCACTAGTTAACTAGTAAAGGCAAAATGTTCACTAGTTAACTAGTTGACGCCTCTTTTGACCTTACTAGTTAACTAGTGGGGCTCAAAATGTCTACACGTTAACTAGTGAACCCTTTGCCTTTTACTAGTTAACTAGTGAGAGAAGTTTAAATTCCACTAGTGAACTAGTGAGGCTTAAAATGTTCACTAGTAGCACTAGTGGATCCCAAATGTGCACTAGTCACACTAGTTGCACAGAATGCTAATGAGGAGGAGGGGAAAGAACGCATCAAGGTCTCCTATTGGCCCTAAGCTATAGAGCGCCACCCAGCCCAAATAGTTTATTTAAGAGCTTAAATACACTGTTTTAAAATATGACCATATTTACAAAAATATAAAACAAAAGTATTTGTGTAATTATGATCATTGTATATCAAATTAGGTAAGAACATTGAAGACTTTCTTAAAATTAGAAAGTTGCCTTAGGACTGCAGACACGAATATAGATCCTCTTTAACACATTTTATTAAACTGCAATTTGAAAGGTGCTTGGATTAGATTAGCATTGTGATAACAGAGGGACATTATTGATGGATACAACGAGGAAGTAACGCTCTTCGGATCACAGCTTTGAGAGATCGCTGTGACTTCCGTAAATATTAGTCTTGGCAAATATGCAGAGGTTGTTTATCTTCATACGGATCTATCGTTACCCTGATTTTAAGATCTGTCCAGTGTTTCTGATTTATTAATGAGCACCGCTTATAAAATGTCCCACGTTCATATACTTTTGTGTCTCGAGTGCCGGTGTTCTCACACACAAGCGTGCGCACATTCGCACCAACAAAAACACACACACAAAGCGGAATATAGCAGAAGCAGAAACATGTATATTTCTAGGTAAAACACACACTGACTGACTTCCCACGGACAATATGTTAACAGTGGGCATAAATATCCGACTGATGCAACTCACGTCTTCAAGACGTTACTAAAAACATCGCAGGAGAATGCCCCCTAAGGCTCTCCCTCACAGAGCTGAACTGACCAATCAGAATCTGGGTCCCGCCTGCTTCATTTGCATATATAGGCTCACTAGTGAACGTGTATGGCCTTCACGTTCACTAGTGAGCCATATGAACTGCAACTAGTTAACTAGTGGATGCATATCGGTCTCCTATTGGCTCTTAAGATAGACCTCGCCCATCAATTTTCACAGAAGTTCAAACACAAGATGGCGGGCGTTGTACTGAGACGTATAAGAAGAAGATGTACTGAGATTCAAAGAGCATTTAATCAAGGATCTTTGGGCCGAACAGAAGTTTACGCTATCAACAGCTCTATAGCTAACGTAAGAAGGGTTGGAGATACTATTGGCGCCCAGGCTGTGCAGGATATAGTTCAAAGTCTCACTGATCTCAGATCTTTCATCTCCGGACCTCAAGCTTCAAATGCCCTACATACTGGTTTCCATGCAGCACACCTTGTGCATTCAGGTGAATTACTAACTAACATTGATAAATGACTTGCCTTGACTTTAGGGCTGTACCTGAATATTCGAATATCTGAATATTCGTTCGTTGGAATACTATTCGGGTTTCAATTTCGTTATTCGGATATTCGTTTTGTTTGTTTTATTCCCGTTTTTTCTTCAAATTGAATTTATTGAAATCTCCAATATCAACGTAAGAGCTTGTGCCTCTTCGGGGGGTGCTAACACTTAACCATAAACGTTATCGTTTACTTTCTCCGTCTTTATATGTAGATATTACTTTTCTCCGTTAATCTCCGTCACGTTGTTTCCAAAGCAACAACAACTTCCTGTCAACAGCGCTACCTCTCCTTCAAAATAAAAGCATGTCCATGAATAGGAAACCAACTGTATACAACTGCAACGAAAGTAACAAACACAATGCGATATCTTTTTCAATTTCAAAGAACACAAATTGGGTTAATAACTATAAAACAAGAATACTGTAGAATAACAAAATTAATGCCGTGATTACACCAACATACACGCGTTGAAGCAGTGCGCTGATGATTACTACGCCACTTTTTTTACCAGTTTATATAACTTTGAACTCACATGAATATTAATGTGACCTGTTGTTAACAGACTTACTTAACATTTAAAAACTCATTGTTCTGTTGATGAACGTTCTGATGAACTGTTATAATAATTATACATGTTTATATAATTGATATTATATATTTTCCTTTTTTATTTCCATATCATAAGGAAGACGAGGAAGACCTGCTCTTGACATAACGAGGGGGCAAATTGAGCTGCTCCTAGGTCAAGGTTTTACCGTGAGAGCAATGGCAAGGATGTTGGGCTGTTCCTCCTCATTCCTTCATAAAAAAATGATGTCTTTAAATACTTCAGCAAGGAACAGATTCACTACCATTAGTGATCCTGACCTAGAAGAGCATGTCAGGAGACTCCACAACCAGTTTCCTAGATCAGGTTCAGAAGTAAGCATACTAGTTTATATTCCCTTTTAGAGTTTTAGAGTTTGTTTATATATAACATTTTATAGAAAATGTTCTGTATCTTATTTGTCTTTTTAAATTAACCACTTTCAGATGATGAGGGCATACCTACACGCAGAAGGGATTGTGGTACAAAGAAGAAGAGTTAGAGAGACTCTAAAGCAAATCGATCCAGCTGCAGCAGCACAGAGATGGGGCCAGACTGTGGCTAGGAGAACCTACTATGTGCCCTTTCCTAACAGCTTGTGGCACATAGATGGCCATATGCGTCTCATTCGGTAATCAGCTCTTGAATTTGAAAGAAAGCAATTATAGTAGTAATTATAATCTTCTAATCCAGCCTAGTTTTGTTTATTATTTTCCTCTTTCACTATATAATCTCAATCATTTTCTTATCAACAACATTTATAGAAGTATTGGATATATTGAACAAATGTTATAAAGATAACCTTTAAGGTATTTAATGTAATGCATTAATTCCTTGTTCTATTCATTCGATTATTTGCACAGGTGGGGGCTTGTGACACATGCCGGAATTGATGGGAACTCCAGACTCGTAACTTTTATCAACTGCGGCACTGACAACACAGCTTTGACAGTGCTAACCCATTTTGTTCGAGCTACCTGTCGGTATGGGTTACCATCCAGAGTCAGGTCTGACCACGGCGGGGAGAACACTCTAGTTGCCCTCTTGATGAACCTTCTACAGGGAAACGGAGAAGTGAGGCACATTACAGGCCAATCTGTACACAACCAACGTATTGAGCGTCTTTGGAGAGATGTTTTCCAGCAGGTTGTGCACTATTTTTACACACTTTTTTATTCCTTTGAAGATGAACAAATATTGAACCCCGAAGATGACATTCAGAAAATGGCACTACAAATCGTTTTTAAACCAGAAATCCAAAAAAGACTAGATTTATTCAGACATGCGTGGAACAACCATAGACTAAGAACTGCTAACAATCGTACACCAACACATATTTGGATGGAGGGCATGCTAGCCAACAGGGAGCAACATTCAACAGCTATAGACAATGTCTTTGGAAATGATCCCTACAGCCAAGAAAATATTGAAAATGGCTTGGCAAGACATGGCATACGGCTCGATCAGTTGCAAGCAAACAATGATGATCTTGAACGAGCAGTGATAGTGCCACAACCACACATTATCCTGAGCTCTGAACAACAGCAAGATCTCCAAAATGCAATGACTGGAACAACTGACTTAAAGGACAGGTATCTGCTTTGTGTTAGACAGATTCAAAACATGCTCTAATTGAAAGAACATAATGTGACTACAAAAAACTATTAAGTGTGAGGGGATATTATTCACTATTACTGTAAATGATAGGCTACAAGATATAACTCCAAGAATAAACGCCCGTTTCAAAGAACCGACCTGTGTCTGTGTCGTGAAGAGAGCTACAATGACCATCCACACTCCTCCCCTGCTTCTATCTCCCTCCTCTCCTCTTCTATTTCCAATACCGTTCTCCCCAACTACACTGGGTAACACCACTGAAAATACACACTAGAAAAATGACTTTTTGGTTCAGTAAATAATACTTTTAACACATGTTACTTGTTAGACGCTTTTATCCAAAGCGACTTACATACTCAATACTGTGGGTGAAGTGTCTCAGGGACACAACGACATGCTGACTGCAGTGGGACTCGAACTTGCTATCTTCTGATTTGAAGATCAGCGCATTAAACCACTGCGCCACACACCTCCCATATTATGTGTTTAAATTCTAGAAGAAATTACTAATGTTCTTTTACTCAACATCTCTCCTTTTATGTAATGTGTTACTTGAATTTGCAAGTAATTTGTTATCTTCATTTTGTTAAATGTCATTTAAATCATAGCACCAAGTAAATGTAAAATCAGATTTATTATTCCTATAGGTGGATTTACAGCATATGTCAACATACATATCATGTTTGAAGTACTTAACAAATCAAAGGAATGGAACACAATTCTGAGCTTCCGAACCACGCTAATACAAGGTCCCTCTTAAAACAGGGCCAAGTTAGAAGTTACTGCTCACAGGACAAGAAATTGTTTGCCACTTGAACGCCCATAAAACTGCAACTTGTAGAATGACTTAAGTTTATGAACAAATAAAAACAACAAATAAATGGTATTAACATCAGAGCATTTATAAGTAGGGAGTCAAAAATGAACCGTCGAGAACAAAGCAACAATTGAGGTATCATTAGTGCACTTCCTGAACGCAGTTTCCATATTTATGGCAATAATGTCAAATTTCACCCAGTGCAAAATTGCAGTAATACTTTCTCCCTCATCTTATCGTCATACTCTGCACACCCTCCCAATCCTCCTCCTCTCTTCCTCCTTGTCTATTTTTCTAGACCTTTAAAAAGCCCAACGAGTCTTTCACTGACTGGTTCAGTATGTTGTGAAGCTCTTGTTCCTCTGTGATGCCTCTTGGTAGGAACAACGTCATAGCACAGGTTGAGGCATATGGCAAACGACGCACACCGGCCTCCTGTGTATAAAAGTCAATGGAGGGCTTGTTTGGAAAGCCAAGCGTTGGAACTTCATCTGCCCCAGTGATGAAAATCAGCAGGTCCTCAAATGTCAGTTCAGTCAGTTTGTCTGCCAATGACAAAAGTGTATATTGGAATATTTATTTTCATTTTTAAAGTCAAATGTGGAACATAATAATATCACTAAAGTAATTTAACATCAAACATTAATCAATAATGTAGTTTACATTTATTTGGCTTTATGGTATATTGACATCAACATGTGTATTTGCCCCTTTTTGTATTTGCATTAGCTACATTGATATTAAATTAAATCGATTTTCTGTTTGTAAAGCATCCATCAATAACAGTATTTACTGAGTTATAGTCATTTCATATGAGGTGCTTTTACATTTTCCTTAAGGTATAAAATGTACCTTCGATGAGGTTTAGGACCAACTCCCAGCTGTATATCGTGTCCTCCTCTTTTTCCCGGTGATTTGTTCCTCTTGGACTGTATTCATATTTTAATATGGCCTTAAAGGAGGATTTTGTCAGCGGGGTCCTCATGTTGGTGAAGCAGGGAAGGAAGGCAATCCAGTTGTTCCTGACCAGGTCCCACAGGTTCCCAAAAGCATTCATGCCCTCCGTGAATTGGTTCACCATCTTGGCCGTTCTATAAGCCAACAAAGATCAAACATGTATATAACCTGAAGAAAAACTGATGCGTTTTTTTGGAAAGGACTAAAAAGCAGTAATAATAGGAAAGAGCATACATAATTTGCAACATTTTAACCTACGTTAAGGAAAACACAAAATATTCAGTGTTCAAAATGTTAAATATTAGTAGCATACAGTAAGTTATGGCTTTTATATTAACATTGTTTTATAATGTCTATGATTTTATATTTTTTTGTTTATAAGTGTTTTTGTTTACCTGAGAAATATGTAGTGCTTAACTACATAGGAATAAATCTTCGGAATTTCTCCGATAGTGGCACTGAAGATGCCAGGGATGCCACACTCAGAGATCCAGTCCCCCAAGTCTTGCTGGAGGGCAGACAGGTCCTCTGCAGTCTTGCACTGTAGGATCTTAGAGATAACATAATGTAGCCGGATTGATAAATTACAAAGATTTAGTGGAAATGCTTTTTATGCTTTTACAAACTTTCACTGACCAAGAAGGAATGTATTTTCTTCTATCAAATCCTAACAAATATTAATTAATAACATAAAAATAATCAGGCACCCTTTTTGCTCTGCTTTGAACATCCGGATCAGGCAGCACACTGCAGTCAAATTGCTCCAGTTGAGCCTCCTGGCCGCACATCAGCTGGTACAGGCTGGGATCCAGGGCTTTGATACACGGACCTCCGTGTGCCACTGACCACGCAATTAGGCGGCCTGCTTGGAAATACTTGTGGCCATCTAATGCCGCTTGGTCATAGGTAAGGAAGACCTGACCAGCCTTTCCCTCGAATATTCCCATGGTTGTTTGTACTTCTATCATCAAGAGTCTACAATAAATCAATTGAGAAAAAAATACAGTACTATAACTTTGCAGTCAACCTGAAAACTAGGACACATTATGATTAAGAATCATACACTAAATGAGGTTATTCAGACCTGAAAAACTCTCTCTGTGGTCCACCCATGTCATCTCCATCTTCTCCTACAAATTCTATGTAGGGGGAATTGTTCCAGCAGAATGTAACCCTTGAGATGGCTTTTATTGCACTCTCAAGAAGTTTCTTCCTCCTGATGCAGATATTACTGACTAGGCCATCAGAAACGAATTCCTTTCTGAAGTCACTTAAAAGGACGGCCAGATCCACTTCTTCCTAAATCATTTAAAATGTATAAAGTCCATTATACATGACTGGTGATTGGTGAAGAGGGGTTGTCTGTCTTGGGTACTGGTGCTTTCGGAAATGTAGCGAAATTATTGCATTTAGTATGTGTCATTATCAGTTCCCGGAAACAAATGTTGTCCTATTTTTTAATAATGACAAATAAAACTTACCACGGGAAAGACATAACTTTCCAAAGTCCCAAAAGCCTCGTCCTCGCCCTCTTCCTCCTCATCAGAATCATCAATTAAAAAGTCATTGAATGAATTCCTAGAAAAAAAACATGTTTCTTTATTTTAAGAGGATATATAATTAATTATTATAATATATATATATATAATTATATATAATAATATATAAAGGATGAGAACAGGGTATTCAGTTAGCTTACATTCAAAACCAATACACTGTGTTAATTATGTATAAAACACCATTATCTATAAATACCTGTTTGGTTGTTCCAAACGTGACCTTCTATAAAATACCTTGAAAGTAAAAATGGTGCATGAAATATTAATGTCCTTATTACAACGTGTATATACACTACAAATACTGAACTATACAGCCATATACAGTAAAGCTTTACCTCTGGAGTCCCAGCATTTACCCATTGTGCGGAATGCAAACTTTCCACCTGTTGATTGACAAGAGGTAACAATTACATCCAACTGTCTTTTACTATGTTTATTTTCAAAAATCTCCTGAGATGAATTCATAATAAGATATTTTTTACATACATCAGCGTCCATAGATACAGAAGTTGATGGGGGTGTGGGAGCAGTGGTTGATCCCGCAGTTTCAGTGGCGGCCGAGGTAGAGGCAGCCGAGGCAGAGGGTGCTCCTTCTGAATCAGTGGCCAAGGTAGAGGCGGCCGAGGCAGAGGGTGCTCCTTCTGAATCAGTGGCCAAGGTAGAGGCGGACGAGGCAGAGGGTGCTCCTTCTGAATCAGTGGCCAAGGTAGAGGCGGCCGAGGCAGAGGGTGCTCCTTCTGAATCAGTGGCCAAGGTAGAGGCGGCCGAGGCTGCTCCTTCTGAATCAGTGGCCGAGGTAGAGGCGGCAGAGGGTGCTCCTGCAGGTCTAAGGGCCGCAGAGGCAGAAGATGAGGCCATCTGTGGGTTGGATGATAAAAAAGTTTAGGAGAACTTGATGGACGAAACAAGCAGCTTAAAAAGTAACCAATATCAATCTCCTAATATTAAAGAATTAAGTATAACATAGATATATGTAGAATTTATAACATAGTAACAGTAGTAAAGAATAGGCTCAAAACAACAACTCACCACTAACAATGTTGGTATGTCTGCCTGCGGGATTATATAAACCCTGCTCCTGCCAACAGATCTTTTAAGGTCTGCCATAGTAGTAGCCTGCAGTTGCGTTAGTAGCCTGGAGTTGCCAGCTCTTGCCAGAGTGAACCCAATCATATTCAAGGGAATTGTAGGAAAACTTTGACAAACATAGCTGTTGAACTCTAAAAGAGTCATTGAGAGCTTGACATAGCTTCGTTCTGAAACAACCCCTTGCTGGTCATGAGCTGGGATTCCTGTAAAAAAAAAGAAAAAGAAGGTGTCAGTCAATATACTGGCTCTATAAATAACTATGATTTAGATTCTAAGCCATATCGTGTCTTTATATGAAGTGAAAAATATACATCTATGAACATATGGTCAAAAAAGGTGCCATATGAATGAAGGCTCATCCTAGACATTGACTTTGTTATGAATGGAAAAAAGCTATTATTAATATTTGAACAATGTAAGCCAATGATAGAATAGGCATAATGTGTATGTGTTTTTAGGCAGTAAAGGTAAGCATTGCTGCCAAAAGTGGAGGTGATGGATTAAAGAGATTATTTTTTAATGTTTTCAACCTTGCACCCAGGCCATACAGAAATAATATTCATATCAAACATTGAAAAGTCTTCAATGAAGTTGAATGGTGTGCAAAAATTGTGTGCATTGTCTGTGCAGATAATGAATCAGTCTCAAGTGGATGCTCATTTTTCAAACCTATTTAATTATTTACCTAAACCTTCTCTTGACAGTCGGCTGCTCTCTGTAGGTGCTGGAAGGACGGATTGGTCCGCCAATGCCAACAGAAAAAGTCTCACCCTCCAAACTCCGGCAGATTCATTTGATGCCCCTGTAAAATGACAGAATGTACAATATTACACACGGTTATACAAAATAAGCACCACTCAAAATTGAAGAATTGTATTTAATAAATTGCTCCATTGAGTCTGGAAAGGAGGGAGAAAATGTATGGATGACCATTTTTATGTGTAAAGTTCTTTCTCTTGCTTTACTTATCGTCTATCCTATCATTTTGAAAGAAAGATAGAGGATGACCGTATGATACAGCTACGGAATGTAATGTCCTAAGCCATGATATAACATTTAAATATTTCACAATTGAAATGAAATATTTTGTTAATACTGATATAGCCTGTCTATAGCACAAATAGCAGCTATATTTAGTGGAGTATGCTATTTGTAATAACTGCTTAATTGTCATTAGAAAGACATAACAAAGTTGGTATCCCTAAGTATAATTGACCTGTTGATTCAAGGACGTTAGCATTTATACTTAAATTGAGTTGTCATAGTTCTCACATTTTTGTATAATTATGAACAAGTTATCATATTCCTGTTTAAAGATTTGAGGGAGCTTCTCACATAACATTCAAGTACACTACTGCTTAAATACTTTTACGACTATTGCTTAAATATTGTCATCATTACAACTGTAATATTTATCCAGTTGGTTTAAAATACACAACTTGTCCTGGCACAGTAAGTTTATGTAGGCTTTATGTAGGCTACACAGCAGTAGTTAGCTTGCTCTTCCCGGCTCAAACTTCAAATGAAAACGTTAAAACTAAACTCGATACATTATGAATCCACTGCAAATGTAACGTGAACAAAACTTTTTAAATAAGCTTGCCTTGCACTATATATGATTTAAGACCAATGCATCAGCACAATATGAAATGGACAATGCTAATGCTCATGCACATTTAAGAACTGATATAGCCTACCCGTTGTTGGTGCCCTCCGACGCCTCCGGAACGTGCTCCTGGTGACTCGCAGAACATTGTCGTTGCGCTGCGCTGCGAGATCCCTTCTGGCAACGTCGAGCGCATTAAAAACGCGATTCATTACACTGTTGAATTCCTGAGTGCCATTTTCGTTTTCGTCTGTCATAATGTTCCCAAGATGTACCACACCACTCATTAGATTTGCCAGAAATGAAATGTAACAGACACGAGACTTACATTATAAGCAGTGGCGGCTGGCCTATAGAGGGCGCTAGGGTGCCGCCCTTCCTAAACCACACACAAAAACATTATTATTATTATTATTAATAATATTAATAATCATCATAATCATAAAGTGTCAATGTTTGTGTGTTTAAAATCTGAAATGGATCCAGAAATATGTGTAATATGTGATTTTCACAGAGCACGCGCCCCTTAAGCCCCGCCCCCGAGCTCCCACTCTCGGCTCAGTGGAATGAATGGAGACAGAAAATAAATCTAGATATTGTGCAAGTTCTCCCACTTAAAAAGATGAGAGAGGCCTGTCATTTTCATCCTAGCTACACTTCAACTATGAGAGACAGAATGGGGGGAAAGAATCCAGGAAATCACATTGTAGGATTTTTTATTAATTACTTGGTAAATTCCTCGGTAAAATAAGTATTTGGTCTGATAATCTCCCTCGATCTGGGGCTCCACGCAAGATCTCACCCCGTGGGGTCAAAATGATCACAAGAACGGTGAGCAAAAATCCCAGAACCACACGGGGGGACCTAGTCAATGACCTGCAGAGAGCTGGGACCAAAGTAACAAAGGCTACCATCACACTACGCCGCCAGGGACTCAAATCCTGCAGTGCCAGACGTGTCCCCCTGCTTAAGCCAGTACATGTCCAGGCCCGTCTGAAGTTTGCTAGAGAGCATTTAGATGATCCAGAAGAGGATTGGGAGAATGTCATATGGTCAGATGAAACCAAAATAGAACTTTTTGGTAAAAACTCAACTAGACGTGTTTGGAGGAGAAAGAATGCTGAGTTGCATCCAAAGAACACCTACTGTGAAACATGGTGGTGGAAACATCATGCTTTGGGGCTGTTTCTCTGCAAAGGGACCAGGACGACTGATCCGTGTAAAGGAAACAATGAATGGGGCCATGTATCGTGAGATTTTGAGTGACAACCTCCTTCCAAGGGCAAGGGCATTGAAGATGAAACGTGGCTGGGTCTTTCAGCATGACAATGATCCCAAACACACCGCCCGGGCAACGAAGGAGTGGCTTCGTAAGAAGCATTTCAAGGTCCTGTAGTGGCCTAGCCAGTCTCCAGATCTCAACCCCATAGAAAGTCTTTGGAGGGAGTTGAAAGTCTGTGTTGCCCAGCGACAGCCCCAAAACATCACTGCTCTAGAGGAGATCTGCATGGAGGAATGGGCCAACATACCAGCAACAGTGTGTGAAAACCTCGTGAAGACTTACAGGAAACATTTGACCTCTGTCATTGCCAACAAAGGGTATATAACAAAGTATTGAGATGAACTTTTGTTATTGATCAAATACTTATTTTCCACCATAATTTGCAAATAAATTCTTTAAAAATCAGACAATGTGATTTTCTGGATTTTTTTTCTCATTTTGTCTCTCATAGTTGAAGTGAGGATGAACATTACAGGCCTCTCTCATCTTTTTAAGTGGGAGAACTTGCACAATTGGTGGCTGACTAAATACTTTTTTGCCCCACTGTATATATATATATATATATATATATAACCTGGCCAGCTTAGCCAGTGTGTATTTCTTCAAGCACCACAAGATTCATAGTTTATAAAGTACAATTCTGGGCCATTGATTGTGTCATTTCTCCAAACACATATAGTAAAAATGGTGCAGGAAAAGGACTTTACATTGTAATATACTTAAAGACAGGACTATTCAGTTAACAGAAGAGAAAAAGGAAAGCAAATTGTTATAATGGGTGATGTAACATTAATGACATAATATGAGGTCCTTGGCACTCAGACTCTAGGGGTCATTTTGTGATCATGGGTCATCACCCTTACAACATCAGGACAATATCATATGGAGTCAGACATTGGAAGTGTGCTGGAGGCTGAGGCGTTGACTGGGACTGATGGAAGGATGAGGCTGATGAGACTGAAGAATCTGCGAGGAATGAACAAGCGGCTGAGAAATAATCATATATTAAAAGACAGCAGCTTCATAAGAAGCCAACAAGAGTGACAGAGTGTGTCAGTGTGCTGAAGGATAGACCAGCTAGCTAGACTCTAAAGACTTTCCAAGGTGTAAAATGCTGCTGCCAGAGTACTGACTGGAAATATCCTCTTAAAATATTCTGTCCAACAATATCAGTCTCATGAAGAAAGGTTTTTTTAACGCTTACTCAAAATAGTAGAGAAACATGCATTTTTGTTCTCAGGAGGGGACATTAACAGAGGATTGTTGGAAAAGTACACAGTAAGTACTTCATAGTACTTGTGGGGTAGTTTAAGTAGTACTGAGTCCAACAGGATCAATCTCACAAAGAACTAATGGCAACAAAAAAGAATTCCCTCATCAAACTTAGCAGAAGTGGCTTGATGTTGTTCTCAGCAGGGACTTTGACAGAGTATTTCTCAAAAAATACACAGTAAAAGTACTTCAATGTATTGTAAGTAGTAGGCTAATACAAAGTCTAACAGTATCAATTTAATTAAGAACTAATGGTAAAATTATATTTTTATCATTCATCAAAGACAGCAGAAAACATGCATTATGTACTATGATTATGTAGCCTGCTATGGAGGGGACTCTGACAGAGGATTACTCACAAAGTACACAGTAAAAGTACTTCATTTATTTCTGGTAGAAGTCAAACTAGTACCGAGTCCAACAGTGTCAGTTTCCTTAAGAACTTGTGGTAACAAATATTTGTATCACTCGTCAAATATAGCAGGAATGAAGAGCAGCTGATTTGGAGTTGACCGCAGTGCAGAATCACTGTATAGTTTAAATCTCCTAACAATGTTGTCCATTTTAGACAGAGGCTGATTATATTTACAGCCCTTAGTTACATCCATTTTCTGGGCTCAATATGTGTCATGGCCGTTTTCGTTGTGATCGCTAAATTCACCTTGTTTCCCTTTGTTTATAATATTATCACCGCTTTTGTTTTGAAATCACTTCCGTGAGATTCGCCCCTCGCTCCAATGACCATTAGACCATTTAGTAAGGTAAGAAGCAAAAAGGCCTCTCAAACGCTCTTCCGTTTACGTGTTTAATAAAGAAAAACAATTGGACGGTAGATACACGGATTATCATGGCTCAAGATCCTGTTCTTGTTTAAGATTATTTTAATGTGTGTATTTAACATCCATATCACTCTTCAAAACTGAAACAACTAAAACATTTTTTTTAAAGCATTGCAGGCCTAAAGCTCCACGTCAGTGACCTATATTTTAATTTCTTCCATCAAACTTTAAAAATGGCAAACAGCATGTTTTTAAAGATGTAATCTTTTAAGAAACAAAATATCAACTTTGAACAGAAGGGTTTAAACACACGTTTTTAATGCAAATAAACTTCAACTTATATATATATATATATGCAAGTATTGCTAATGCAATTGTTTTTTAAGTTTTTATACATAGTCTCAAATGTTTAAATTGTTTATGGAGGCATTACAATTTAAGACTGATAAATTAACACTGAAACTACTGTTTTTGTTGCATTAAGTCATACTGGGATGTTTGCTGAAATTGATTGCATGTGGTACAGCCCTACTTAGAAAAAAAATCCACTGCTTATAAGGCTCTTCACTCAGTTTGGACACTGACCAATCAAAATCTGGGTCCCGCCTGCTTCATTTGCATATGGCTGACTAGTTAACGTGTTGGCCATATGAACGGCAACTAGTTAACTAGTGGATACATATTGCAGCTTACATGTTAACTAGTGAAGGCAAAATGTTCACTAGTTAACTAGTTGAGCCTGTTTTTGGTCTTCTAAGCTGACTAGTGAGGCTCAAAATGTGCACTAGTTAACTAGTGAGGTCCAAATTGTCCACTAGATGCACTAGTACAATTGTTTTTTACCTTACTAGTTAACTAGTTACACACACTTTATCTCACTAGTTAACTAGTGAAGCCTTAGAGGAGTCACTAGTGAACTAGTGACACATATGTTTTTCTTACTAGTTAACTAGTGGAGGGCATTATTTCTCACTAGTGAGGTTATATTATAAACATGTTAGTCTTTGACCTGACATGTTGCACATTTTGTCTTACATGTAAGCCCTTCCTTCGACTAGTTTGGCTTTGTTTGCACTAGTGAGCAACTGCATGCAACTAGTTAGCTATTGATTCAACATGTATGGCTTTTTCCAGAACTAGTGGATATTTAGAGCCCACTAGTTGTGGTTTTGTTCTCTCTAGTTCAACACAATGACTTACTAGTTGACGTGTACGTACAACTAGTTTACTAGTGATGTGTCAACAAATGCACTAGTCAACATGTATGACTTTTTTAAACAATTCACTAGTTAACTAGTTGCACGTACACGTCAACTAGTAAGTCATTGTGTTGAACTAGAGAGAACAAAAGCACAACTAGTGGGCTCTAAATATCCACTAGTTCTGGAAAAAGCCATACATGTTGAATCAATAGCTAACTAGTTGCATGCAGTTGCTCACTAGTGCAAAAAAAGCCAAACTAGTCGAAGGAAAGGCCTTACATGTAAGAAAAATGTGCAACATGTCAGGTCAAAGACTAACATGTTTATAATATAACCTCACTAGTGAGAATAAATGCCCTCCACTAGTTAACTAGTAAGAAAAACATCTGTGTCACTAGTTCACTAGTGACTCCTCTAAGGCTTCACTAGTTAACTAGTGAGCTAAAGTGTGTGTAACTAGTTAACTAGTAAGGTAAAAACAATTGTACTAGTGCATATAGTGGACAATTTGGACCTCACTAGTTAACTAGTGCACATTTTGAGCCTCACTAGTCAGCTTAGAAGACCAAAACAGGCTTCAACTAGTTAACTAGTGAACATTTTGCCTTCACTAGTTAACGTGTAAGCTGCAATATGTATCCACTAGTTAACTAGTTGCCGTTCATATGGCCAACACGTTAACTAGTCAGCCATATGCAAATGAAGCAGGCGGGACCCAGATTTTGATTGGTCAGTGTCCAAACTGAGTGAAAAGCCTTATAAGCAGTGGCGGCTGGTGGATTTTTTTTCTAAGTAGGGCTGTACCACATGCAATCAATTTCAGCAAACATCTCAGTATGACTTAATGCAAAAAAAACAGTAGTTTCAGTGTTAATTTATCAGTCTTAAATTGTAATGCTCCATAAACAATTTAAACATTTGAGACTATGTACAAAAACTTAAAAACAATTGCATTAGCAATACTTGCATATATATGTATGTATATATATATGATGTATATCATATATATATATATATATATATATATAAGTTGAAGTTTATTTGCATTAAAAACGTGTGTTTAAACCCTTCTGTTCAAAGTTGATATTTTGTTTCTTAAAAGATGACATCTTTTAAAAACATGCTGTTTGCCATTTTTAAAGTTTGATGGAAGAAATTAAAATATAGGTCACTGACGTGGAGCTTTAGGCCTGCAATGCTTTAAAAAAAATGTTTTAGTTGTTTCAGTTTTGAAGAGTGATATGGATGTTAAATACACACATTAAAATAATCTTAAACAAGAACAGGATCTTGAGCCATGATAATCCGTGTATCTACCGTCCAATTGTTTTTCTTTATTAAACACGTAAACGGAAGAGCGTTTGAGAGGCCTTTTTGCTTCTTACCTTACTAAATGGTCTAATGGTCATTGGAGCGAGGGGCGAATCTCACGGAAGTGATTTCAAAACAAAAGCGGTGATAATATTATAAACAAAGGGAAACAAGGTGAATTTAGCGATCACAACGAAAACGGCCATGACACATATTGAGCCCAGAAAATGGATGTAACTAAGGGCTGTAAATATAATCAGCCTCTGTCTAAAATGGACAACATTGTTAGGAGATTTAAACTATACAGTGATTCTGCACTGCGGTCACTCCGCCGTCTCTCGCCTTTGTTTTTTCAAATCAGCTGCTCTTCATTATTCCTGCTATATTTGACGAGTGATACAAATATTTGTTACCACAAGTTCTTAAGGAAACTGACACTGTTGGACTCGGTACTAGTTTGACTTCTACCAGAAATAAAATGAAGTACTTTTACTGTGTACTTTGTGAGTAATCCTCTGTCAGAGTCCCCTCCATAGCAGGCTACATAATCATAGTACATAATGCATGTTTTCTGCTGTCTTTGATGAATGATAAAAATATAATTTTACCATTAGTTCTTAATTAAATTGATACTGTTAGACTTTGTATTAGCCTACTACTTACAATACATTGAAGTACTTTTACTGTGTATTTTTTGAGAAATACTCTGTCAAAGTCCCTGCTGAGAACAACATCAAGCCACTTCTGCTAAGTTTGATGAGGGAATTCTTTTTTGTTGCCATTAGTTCTTTGTGAGATTGATCCTGTTGGACTCAGTACTACTTAAACTACCCCACAAGTACTATGAAGTACTTACTGTGTACTTTTCCAACAATCCTCTGTTAATGGCCCCTCCTGAGAACAAAAATGCATGTTTCTCTACTATTTTGAGTAAGCGTTAAAAAAACCTTTCTTCATGAGACTGATATTGTTGGACAGAATATTTTAAGAGGATATTTCCAGTCAGTACTCCGGCAGCAGCATTTTACACCTTGGAAAGTCTTTAGAGTCTAGCTAGCTGGTCTATCCTTCAGCACACTGACACACTCTGTCACTCTTGTTGGCTTCTTATGAAGCTGCTGTCTTTTAATATATGATTATTTCTCAGCCGCTTGTTCATTCCTCGCAGATTCTTCAGTCTCATCAGCCTCATCCTTCCATCAGTCCCAGTCAACGCCTCAGCCTCCAGCACACTTCCAATGTCTGACTCCATATGATATTGTCCTGATGTTGTAAGGGTGATGACCCATGATCACAAAATGACCCTAGAGTCTGAGTGCCAAGGACCTCATATTATGTCATTAATGTTACATCACCCATTATAACAATTTGCTTTCCTTTTTCTCTTCTGTTAACTGAATAGTCCTGTCTTTAAGTATATTACAATGTAAAGTTCTTTTCCTGCACCATTTTTACTATATGTGTTTGGAGAAATGACACAATCAATGGCCCAGAATTGTACTTTATAAACTATGAATCTTGTGGTGCTTGAAGAAATACACACTGGCTAAGCTGGCCAGGTTATATATATATATATATATATATATATATATACAGTGGGGCAAAAAAGTATTTAGTCAGCCACCAATTGTGCAAGTTCTCCCACTTAAAAAGATGAGAGAGGCCTGTAATGTTCATCCTCACTTCAACTATGAGAGACAAAATGAGAAAAAAAATCCAGAAAATCACATTGTCTGATTTTTAAAGAATTTATTTGCACATTATGGTGGAAAATAAGTATTTGGTCAATAACAAAAGTTCATCTCAATACTTTGTTATATACCCTTTGTTGGCAATGACAGAGGTCAAACGTTTCCTGTAAGTCTTCACAAGGTTTTCACACACTGTTGCTGGTATTTTGACCCATTCCTCCATGCAGATCTCCTCTAGAGCAGTGATGTTTTGGGGCTGTCGCTGGGCAACACGGACTTTCAACTCCCTCCAAAGACTTTCTATGGGGTTGAGATCTGGAGACTGGCTAGGCCACTACAGGACCTTGAAATGCTTCTTACGAAGCCACTCCTTCGTTGCCCGGGCGGTGTGTTTGGGATCATTGTCATGCTGAAAGACCCAGCCACGTTTCATCTTCAATGCCCTTGCCCTTGGAAGGAGGTTGTCACTCAAAATCTCACGATACATGGCCCCATTCATTCTTTCCTTTACACGGATCAGTCGTCCTGGTCCCTTTGCAGAGAAACAGCCCCAAAGCATGATGTTTCCACCACCATGTTTCACAGTAGGTGTTCTTTGGATGTGACTCAGCATTCTTTCTCCTCCAAACACGTCTAGTTGAGTTTTTACCAAAAAGTTCTATTTTGGTTTCATCTGACCATATGACATTCTCCCAATCCTCTTCTGGATCATCTAAATGCTCTCTAGCAAACTTCAGACGGGCCTGGACATGTACTGGCTTAAGCAGGGGGACACGTCTGGCACTGCAGGATTTGAGTCCCTGGCGGCGTAGTGAGATGGTAGCCTTTGTTACTTTGGTCCCAGCTCTCTGCAGGTCATTGACTAGGTCCCCCCGTGTGGTTCTGGGATTTTTGCTCACCGTTCTTGTGATCATTTTGACCCCACGGGGTGAGATCTTGCGTGGAGCCCCAGATCGAGGGAGATTATCAGACCAAATACTTATTTTACCGAGGAATTTACCAAGTAATTAATAAAAAATCCTACAATGTGATTTCCTGGATTCTTTCCCCCCATTCTGTCTCTCATAGTTGAAGTGTACCTAGGATGAAAATGACAGGCCTCTCTCATCTTTTTAAGTGGGAGAACTTGCACAATATCTAGATTTATTTTCTGTCTCCATTCATTCCACTGAGCCGAGAGTGGGAGCTCGGGGGCGGGGCTTAAGGGGCGCGTGCTCTGTGAAAATCACATATTACACATATTTCTGGATCCATTTCAGATTTTAAACACACAAACATTGACACTTTATGATTATGATGATTATTAATATTATTAATAATAATAATAATGTTTTTGTGTGTGGTTTAGGAAGGGCGGCACCCTAGCGCCCTCTATAGGCCAGCCGCCACTGCTTATAATGTAAGTCTCGTGTCTGTTACATTTCATTTCTGGCAAATCTAATGAGTGGTGTGGTACATCTTGGGAACATTATGACAGACGAAAACGAAAATGGCACTCAGGAATTCAACAGTGTAATGAATCGCGTTTTTAATGCGCTCGACGTTGCCAGAAGGGATCTCGCAGCGCAGCGCAACGACAATGTTCTGCGAGTCACCAGGAGCACGTTCCGGAGGCGTCGGAGGGCACCAACAACGGGTAGGCTATATCAGTTCTTAAATGTGCATGAGCATTAGCATTGTCCATTTCATATTGTGCTGATGCATTGGTCTTAAATCATATATAGTGCAAGGCAAGCTTATTTAAAAAGTTTTGTTCACGTTACATTTGCAGTGGATTCATAATGTATCGAGTTTAGTTTTAACGTTTTCATTTGAAGTTTGAGCCGGGAAGAGCAAGCTAACTACTGCTGTGTAGCCTACATAAAGCCTACATAAACTTACTGTGCCAGGACAAGTTGTGTATTTTAAACCAACTGGATAAATATTACAGTTGTAATGATGACAATATTTAAGCAATAGTCGTAAAAGTATTTAAGCAGTAGTGTACTTGAATGTTATGTGAGAAGCTCCCTCAAATCTTTAAACAGGAATATGATAACTTGTTCATAATTATACAAAAATGTGAGAACTATGACAACTCAATTTAAGTATAAATGCTAACGTCCTTGAATCAACAGGTCAATTATACTTAGGGATACCAACTTTGTTATGTCTTTCTAATGACAATTAAGCAGTTATTACAAATAGCATACTCCACTAAATATAGCTGCTATTTGTGCTATAGACAGGCTATATCAGTATTAACAAAATATTTCATTTCAATTGTGAAATATTTAAATGTTATATCATGGCTTAGGACATTACATTCCGTAGCTGTATCATACGGTCATCCTCTATCTTTCTTTCAAAATGATAGGATAGACGATAAGTAAAGCAAGAGAAAGAACTTTACACATAAAAATGGTCATCCATACATTTTCTCCCTCCTTTCCAGACTCAATGGAGCAATTTATTAAATACAATTCTTCAATTTTGAGTGGTGCTTATTTTGTATAACCGTGTGTAATATTGTACATTCTGTCATTTTACAGGGGCATCAAATGAATCTGCCGGAGTTTGGAGGGTGAGACTTTTTCTGTTGGCATTGGCGGACCAATCCGTCCTTCCAGCACCTACAGAGAGCAGCCGACTGTCAAGAGAAGGTTTAGGTAAATAATTAAATAGGTTTGAAAAATGAGCATCCACTTGAGACTGATTCATTATCTGCACAGACAATGCACACAATTTTTGCACACCATTCAACTTCATTGAAGACTTTTCAATGTTTGATATGAATATTATTTCTGTATGGCCTGGGTGCAAGGTTGAAAACATTAAAAATAATCTCTTTAATCCATCACCTCCACTTTTGGCAGCAATGCTTACCTTTACTGCCTAAAAACACATACACATTATGCCTATTCTATCATTGGCTTACATTGTTCAAATATTAATAATAGCTTTTTTCCATTCATAACAAAGTCAATGTCTAGGATGAGCCTTCATTCATATGGCACCTTTTTTGACCATATGTTCATAGATGTATATTTTTCACTTCATATAAAGACACGATATGGCTTAGAATCTAAATCATAGTTATTTATAGAGCCAGTATATTGACTGACACCTTCTTTTTCTTTTTTTTTACAGGAATCCCAGCTCATGACCAGCAAGGGGTTGTTTCAGAACGAAGCTATGTCAAGCTCTCAATGACTCTTTTAGAGTTCAACAGCTATGTTTGTCAAAGTTTTCCTACAATTCCCTTGAATATGATTGGGTTCACTCTGGCAAGAGCTGGCAACTCCAGGCTACTAACGCAACTGCAGGCTACTACTATGGCAGACCTTAAAAGATCTGTTGGCAGGAGCAGGGTTTATATAATCCCGCAGGCAGACATACCAACATTGTTAGTGGTGAGTTGTTGTTTTGAGCCTATTCTTTACTACTGTTACTATGTTATAAATTCTACATATATCTATGTTATACTTAATTCTTTAATATTAGGAGATTGATATTGGTTACTTTTTAAGCTGCTTGTTTCGTCCATCAAGTTCTCCTAAACTTTTTTATCATCCAACCCACAGATGGCCTCATCTTCTGCCTCTGCGGCCCTTAGACCTGCAGGAGCACCCTCTGCCTCGGCCGCCTCTACCTCGGCCACTGATTCAGAAGGAGCAGCCTCGGCCGCCTCTACCTTGGCCACTGATTCAGAAGGAGCACCCTCTGCCTCGGCCGCCTCTACCTTGGCCACTGATTCAGAAGGAGCACCCTCTGCCTCGGCCGCCTCTACCTTGGCCACTGATTCAGAAGGAGCACCCTCTGCCTCGGCCGCCTCTACCTTGGCCACTGATTCAGAAGGAGCACCCTCTGCCTCGGCTGCCTCTACCTCGGCCGCCACTGAAACTGCGGGATCAACCACTGCTCCCACACCCCCATCAACTTCTGTATCTATGGACGCTGATGTATGTAAAAAATATCTTATTATGAATTCATCTCAGGAGATTTTTGAAAATAAACATAGTAAAAGACAGTTGGATGTAATTGTTACCTCTTGTCAATCAACAGGTGGAAAGTTTGCATTCCGCACAATGGGTAAATGCTGGGACTCCAGAGGTAAAGCTTTACTGTATATGGCTGTATAGTTCAGTATTTGTAGTGTATATACACGTTGTAATAAGGACATTAATATTTCATGCACCATTTTTACTTTCAAGGTATTTTATAGAAGGTCACGTTTGGAACAACCAAACAGGTATTTATAGATAATGGTGTTTTATACATAATTAACACAGTGTATTGGTTTTGAATGTAAGCTAACTGAATACCCTGTTCTCATCCTTTATATATTATTATATATAATTATATATATATATATTATAATAATTAATTATATATCCTCTTAAAATAAAGAAACATGTTTTTTTTCTAGGAATTCATTCAATGACTTTTTAATTGATGATTCTGATGAGGAGGAAGAGGGCGAGGACGAGGCTTTTGGGACTTTGGAAAGTTATGTCTTTCCCGTGGTAAGTTTTATTTGTCATTATTAAAAAATAGGACAACATTTTTTTCCGGGAACTGATAATGACACATACTAAATGCAATAATTTCGCTACATTTCCGAAAGCACCAGTACCCAAGACAGACAACCCCTCTTCACCAATCACCAGTCATGTATAATGGACTTTATACATTTTAAATGATTTAGGAAGAAGTGGATCTGGCCGTCCTTTTAAGTGACTTCAGAAAGGAATTCGTTTCTGATGGCCTAGTCAGTAATATCTGCATCAGGAGGAAGAAACTTCTTGAGAGTGCAATAAAAGCCATCTCAAGGGTTACATTCTGCTGGAACAATTCCCCCTACATAGAATTTGTAGGAGAAGATGGAGATGACATGGGTGGACCACAGAGAGAGTTTTTCAGGTCTGAATAACCTCATTTAGTGTATGATTCTTAATCATAATGTGTCCTAGTTTTCAGGTTGACTGCAAAGTTATAGTACTGTATTTTTTTCTCAATTGATTTATTGTAGACTCTTGATGATAGAAGTACAAACAACCATGGGAATATTCGAGGGAAAGGCTGGTCAGGTCTTCCTTACCTATGACCAAGCGGCATTAGATGGCCACAAGTATTTCCAAGCAGGCCGCCTAATTGCGTGGTCAGTGGCACACGGAGGTCCGTGTATCAAAGCCCTGGATCCCAGCCTGTACCAGCTGATGTGCGGCCAGGAGGCTCAACTGGAGCAATTTGACTGCAGTGTGCTGCCTGATCCGGATGTTCAAAGCAGAGCAAAAAGGGTGCCTGATTATTTTTATGTTATTAATTAATATTTGTTAGGATTTGATAGAAGAAAATACATTCCTTCTTGGTCAGTGAAAGTTTGTAAAAGCATAAAAAGCATTTCCACTAAATCTTTGTAATTTATCAATCCGGCTACATTATGTTATCTCTAAGATCCTACAGTGCAAGACTGCAGAGGACCTGTCTGCCCTCCAGCAAGACTTGGGGGACTGGATCTCTGAGTGTGGCATCCCTGGCATCTTCAGTGCCACTATCGGAGAAATTCCGAAGATTTATTCCTATGTAGTTAAGCACTACATATTTCTCAGGTAAACAAAAACACTTATAAACAAAAAAATATAAAATCATAGACATTATAAAACAATGTTAATATAAAAGCCATAACTTATGTTGGAGATTTGGAGGGATAACTGGTCCGCTTTTCAAATCTCCGCGCGTTCCTATGAAGCTGGTTATAATACAGGAAGGAATCCATAGCTACAAAGTAACCGTTAACAATAATCTACTTTAATGGCAATATGACAATGCAATACAATCATTACAATACAACATGATATATTACAGTTATATTGTAATGCTTAAGGAGTAATGCCGGCTTACTCCTGCTCTAGTCCGCATACTGCAGAGCTACTTTCACCCGAGGGCAGCATGTGAAGAAGAGACCGAACGCCAGGGATCCACCGGAGATATACCAGAGCAAGAAGGAGGGGTTAGGGTTTAGGTCAGCTGGTCATCTTTTCAGGTCATCTCATTGGGAGACGCAACGCTGGCCAGCAAGAAACCAAACAGGCTCACTTTCCAACAAAAGGTCTCAAGGCCTGCATACCTACACCTCCCCCACAGAGCAATAAAACCCTGTTTACTCCAACCAGCCCAGAATGTTTATAGGCATTTGTAGTCCTTACATTTATGAAAGGATAAAACAGAGAAATCAATATAAAACACAAACACAGGTATTGTTTGAACAGTATTCACTTAACTGCTACTATTGATAACCACCAGAGAAACCCAAGGGACCTCTCTTAACATCACAACCACTGTAGCTCGTTCTAAGTTGAATGCAAATCAGGACATGCTCTCACCTTCCCCCATCTTCCTTTGTCCTCAAAAACACATGTCAACAGGCCCCATATCCAGCTCACAGTTTTACCCAAATTATTCCCATTTTAAGCTTATCCATAGTTTGCTAACATGAATAAATACAAATATAACTCTACACTTACTGTATGCTACTAATATTTAACATTTTGAACACTGAATATTTTGTGTTTTCCTTAACGTAGGTTAAAATGTTGCAAATTATGTATGCTCTTTCCTATTATTACTGCTTTTTAGTCCTTTCCAAAAAAACGCATCAGTTTTTCTTCAGGTTATATACATGTTTGATCTTTGTTGGCTTATAGAACGGCCAAGATGGTGAACCAATTCACGGAGGGCATGAATGCTTTTGGGAACCTGTGGGACCTGGTCAGGAACAACTGGATTGCCTTCCTTCCCTGCTTCACCAACATGAGGACCCCGCTGACAAAATCCTCCTTTAAGGCCATATTAAAATATGAATACAGTCCAAGAGGAACAAATCACCGGGAAAAAGAGGAGGACACGATATACAGCTGGGAGTTGGTCCTAAACCTCATCGAAGGTACATTTTATACCTTAAGGAAAATGTAAAAGCACCTCATATGAAATGACTATAACTCAGTAAATACTGTTATTGATGGATGCTTTACAAACAGAAAATCGATTTAATTTAATATCAATGTAGCTAATGCAAATACGAAAAGGGGCAAATACACATGTTGATGTCAATATACCATAAAGCCAAATAAATGTAAACTACATTATTGATTAATGTTTGATGTTAAATTACTTTAGTGATATTATTATGTTCCACATTTGACTTTAAAAATGAAAATAAATATTCCAATATACACTTTTGTCATTGGCAGACAAACTGACTGAACTGACATTTGAGGACCTGCTGATTTTCATCACTGGGGGCAGATGAAGTTCCAACGCTTGGCTTTCCAAACAAGCCCTCCATTGACTTTTATACACAGGAGGCCGGTGTGCGTCGTTTGCCATATGCCTCAACCTGTGCTATGACGTTGTTCCTACCAAGAGGCATCACAGAGGAACAAGAGCTTCACAACATACTGAACCAGTCAGTGAAAGACTCGTTGGGCTTTTTAAAGGTCTAGAAAAATAGACGAGGAGGAGGATTGGGAGGGTGTGCAGAGTATGACGATAAGATGAGGGAGAAAGTATTACTGCAATTTTGCACTGGGTGAAATTTGACATTATTGCCATAAATATGGAAACTGCGTTCAGGAAGTGCACTAATGATACCTCAATTGTTGCTTTGTTCTCGACGGTTCATTTTTGACTCCCTACTTATAAATGCTCTGATGTTAATACCATTTATTTGTTGTTTTTATTTGTTCATAAACTTAAGTCATTCTACAAGTTGCAGTTTTATGAGCGTTCAAGTGGCAAACAATTTCTTGTCCTGTGAGCAGTAACTTCTAACTTGGCCCTGTTTTAAGAGGGACCTTGTATTAGCGTGGTTCGGAAGCTCAGAATTGTGTTCCATTCCTTTGATTTGTTAAGTACTTCAAACATGATATGTATGTTGACATATGCTGTAAATCCACCTATAGGAATAATAAATCTGATTTTACATTTACTTGGTGCTATGATTTAAATGACATTTAACAAAATGAAGATAACAAATTACTTGCAAATTCAAGTAACACATTACATAAAAGGAGAGATGTTGAGTAAAAGAACATTAGTAATTTCTTCTAGAATTTAAACACATAATATGGGAGGTGTGTGGCGCAGTGGTTTAATGCGCTGATCTTCAAATCAGAAGATAGCAAGTTCGAGTCCCACTGCAGTCAGCATGTCGTTGTGTCCCTGAGACACTTCACCCACAGTATTGAGTATGTAAGTCGCTTTGGATAAAAGCGTCTAACAAGTAACATGTGTTAAAAGTATTATTTACTGAACCAAAAGTCATTTTTCTAGTGTGTATTTTCAGTGGTGTTACCCAGTGTAGTTGGGGAGAACGGTATTGGAAATAGAAGAGGAGAGGAGGGAGATAGAAGCAGGGGAGGAGTGTGGATGGTCATTGTAGCTCTCTTCACGACACAGACACAGGTCGGTTCTTTGAAACGGGCGTTTATTCTTGGAGTTATATCTTGTAGCCTATCATTTACAGTAATAGTGAATAATATCCCCTCACACTTAATAGTTTTTTGTAGTCACATTATGTTCTTTCAATTAGAGCATGTTTTGAATCTGTCTAACACAAAGCAGATACCTGTCCTTTAAGTCAGTTGTTCCAGTCATTGCATTTTGGAGATCTTGCTGTTGTTCAGAGCTCAGGATAATGTGTGGTTGTGGCACTATCACTGCTCGTTCAAGATCATCATTGTTTGCTTGCAACTGATCGAGCCGTATGCCATGTCTTGCCAAGCCATTTTCAATATTTTCTTGGCTGTAGGGATCATTTCCAAAGACATTGTCTATAGCTGTTGAATGTTGCTCCCTGTTGGCTAGCATGCCCTCCATCCAAATATGTGTTGGTGTACGATTGTTAGCAGTTCTTAGTCTATGGTTGTTCCACGCATGTCTGAATAAATCTAGTCTTTTTTGGATTTCTGGTTTAAAAAACGATTTGTAGTGCCATTTTCTGAATGTCATCTTCGGGGTTCAATATTTGTTCATCTTCAAAGGAATAAAAAAGTGTGTAAAAATAGTGCACAACCTGCTGGAAAACATCTCTCCAAAGACGCTCAATACGTTGGTTGTGTACAGATTGGCCTGTAATGTGCCTCACTTCTCCGTTTCCCTGTAGAAGGTTCATCAAGAGGGCAACTAGAGTGTTCTCCCCGCCGTGGTCAGACCTGACTCTGGATGGTAACCCATACCGACAGGTAGCTCGAACAAAATGGGTTAGCACTGTCAAAGCTGTGTTGTCAGTGCCGCAGTTGATAAAAGTTACGAGTCTGGAGTTCCCATCAATTCCGGCATGTGTCACAAGCCCCCACCTGTGCAAATAATCGAATGAATAGAACAAGGAATTAATGCATTGCATTAAATACCTTAAAGGTTATCTTTATAACATTTGTTCAATATATCCAATACTTCTATAAATGTTGTTGATAAGAAAATGATTGAGATTATATAGTGAAAGAGGAAAATAATAAACAAAACTAGGCTGGATTAGAAGATTATAATTACTACTATAATTGCTTTCTTTCAAATTCAAGAGCTGATTACCGAATGAGACGCATATGGCCATCTATGTGCCACAAGCTGTTAGGAAAGGGCACATAGTAGGTTCTCCTAGCCACAGTCTGGCCCCATCTCTGTGCTGCTGCAGCTGGATCGATTTGCTTTAGAGTCTCTCTAACTCTTCTTCTTTGTACCACAATCCCTTCTGCGTGTAGGTATGCCCTCATCATCTGAAAGTGGTTAATTTAAAAAGACAAATAAGATACAGAACATTTTATATAAAATGTTATATATAAACAAACTCTAAAACTCTAAAAGGGAATATAAACTAGTATGCTTACTTCTGAACCTGATCTAGGAAACTGGTTGTGGAGTCTCCTGACATGCTCTTCTAGGTCAGGATCACTAATGGTAGTGAATCTGTTCCTTGCTGAAGTATTTAAAGACATCATTTTTTTATGAAGGAATGAGGAGGAACAGCCCAACATCCTTGCCATTGCTCTCACGGTAAAACCTTGACCTAGGAGCAGCTCAATTTGCCCCCTCGTTATGTCAAGAGCAGGTCTTCCTCGTCTTCCTTATGATATGGAAATAAAAAAGGAAAATATATAATATCAATTATATAAACATGTATAATTATTATAACAGTTCATCAGAACGTTCATCAACAGAACAATGAGTTTTTAAATGTTAAGTAAGTCTGTTAACAACAGGTCACATTAATATTCATGTGAGTTCAAAGTTATATAAACTGGTAAAAAAAGTGGCGTAGTAATCATCAGCGCACTGCTTCAACGCGTGTATGTTGGTGTAATCACGGCATTAATTTTGTTATTCTACAGTATTCTTGTTTTATAGTTATTAACCCAATTTGTGTTCTTTGAAATTGAAAAAGATATCGCATTGTGTTTGTTACTTTCGTTGCAGTTGTATACAGTTGGTTTCCTATTCATGGACATGCTTTTATTTTGAAGGAGAGGTAGCGCTGTTGACAGGAAGTTGTTGTTGCTTTGGAAACAACGTGACGGAGATTAACGGAGAAAAGTAATATCTACATATAAAGACGGAGAAAGTAAACGATAACGTTTATGGTTAAGTGTTAGCACCCCCCGAAGAGGCACAAGCTCTTACGTTGATATTGGAGATTTCAATAAATTCAATTTGAAGAAAAAACGGGAATAAAACAAACAAAACGAATATCCGAATAACGAAATTGAAACCCGAATAGTATTCCAACGAACGAATATTCCGATATTCGAATATTCAGGTACAGCCCTAAAGTCAAGGCAAGTCATTTATCAATGTTAGTTAGTAATTCACCTGAATGCACAAGGTGTGCTGCATGGAAACCAGTATGTAGGGCATTTGAAGCTTGAGGTCCGGAGATGAAAGATCTGAGATCAGTGAGACTTTGAACTATATCCTGCACAGCCTGGGCGCCAATAGTATCTCCAACCCTTCTTACGTTAGCTATAGAGCTGTTGATAGCGTAAACTTCTGTTCGGCCCAAAGATCCTTGATTAAATGCTCTTTGAATCTCAGTACATCTTCTTCTTATACGTCTCAGTACAACGCCCGCCATCTTGTGTTTGAACTTCTGTGAAAATTGATGGGCGAGGTCTATCTTAAGAGCCAATAGGAGACCGATATGCATCCACTAGTTAACTAGTTGCAGTTCATATGGCTCACTAGTGAACGTGAAGGCCATACACGTTCACTAGTGAGCCTATATATGCAAATGAAGCAGGCGGGACCCAGATTCTGATTGGTCAGTTCAGCTCTGTGAGGGAGAGCCTTAGGGGGCGTTCTCCTGCGATGTTTTTAGTAACGTCTTGAAGACGTGAGTTGCATCAGTCGGATATTTATGCCCACTGTTAAAATATTGTCCGTGGGAAGTCAGTCAGTGTGTGTTTTACCTAGAAATATACATGTTTCTGCTTCTGCTTTGTTCCGCTTTGTGTGTGTGTTTTTGTTGGTGCGAATGTGCGCACGCTTGTGTGTGAGAACACCGGCACTCGAGACACAAAAGTATATGAACGTGGGACATTTTATAAGCGGTGCTCATTAATAAATCAGAAACACTGGACAGATCTTAAAATCAGGGTAACGATAGATCCGTATGAAGATAAACAACCTCTGCATATTTGCCAAGACTAATATTTACGGAAGTCACAGCGATCTCTCAAAGCTGTGATCCGAAGAGCGTTACTTCCTCGTTGTATCCATCAATAATGTCCCTCTGTTATCACAATGCTAATCTAATCCAAGCACCTTTCAAATTGCAGTTTAATAAAATATGTTAAAGAGGATCTATATTCCTGTCTGCAGTCCTAAGGCAACTTTCTAATTTTAAGAAAGTCTTCAATGTTCTTACCTAATTTGATATACAATGATCATAATTACACAAATACTTTTGTTTTATATTTTGTAAATATGGTCATATTTTAAAACAGTGTATTTAAGCTCTTAAATAAACTATTTGGGCTGGGTGGCGCTCTATAGCTTAGGGCCAATAGGAGACCTTGATGCGTTCTTTCCCCTCCTCCTCATTAGCATTCTGTGCAACTAGTGTGACTAGTGCACATTTGGGATCCACTAGTGCTACTAGTGAACATTTTAAGCCTCACTAGTTCACTAGTGGAATTTAAACTTCTCTCACTAGTTAACTAGTAAAAGGCAAAGGGTTCACTAGTTAACGTGTAGACATTTTGAGCCCCACTAGTTAACTAGTAAGGTCAAAAGAGGCGTCAACTAGTTAACTAGTGAACATTTGGCCTTTACTAGTTAACTAGTGAGTGATTCTGGGTGCGACTAGTTAACTAGTGCGCTGCAAAATCTCTGACATGTTAACTAGTTGTGCTTCTTTTGTGTGACTAGTTAACATGTCAGAGCTTTTGCAGTGCACTAGTTAACTTGTAAGACTTTTAGGGTAACTAGTACGGTCAGAGGGCCACTAGTTCATCAAAAAGCTTACACGTTGGGACTTTGGTGCTACTAGTGCTGCTCCTGGCGTCACTAGTAAGGCATACGTGTTAACTAGTCGGACAAAAGTGCCACTAGTTGCTGAAAAAGAGCGACTAGTGAAATGTTTTATTCAACTAGTAAAGCAGAGTGCCTGACTAGTTTGACCATATATCTAACAAGTGAAATCAAAGAGCCAACTAGTGTAGTCCGCTGCCGTCTGATATCAAGGAAATTGAATAAATACTCAAATGGCTTGCCATACCAAACTAGTTGAAGGAAAGGGCTTACATGTTAGAAAAATGTGTAACATGTCAGGTCAAAGACTAACATGTTTATAATATAACCTCACTAGTGAGAATAAATGCCCTCCACTAGTTAACTAGTAAGAAAAACATCTGTGTCACTAGTTTACTAGTGACTCCTCTAAGGCTTCACTAGTTCACTAGTGAGCTAAAGTGTGTGTAACTAGTTAACTAGTAAGGTAAAAACAATTGTACTAGTGCATCTAGTGGACAATTTGGACCTCACTAGTTAACTAGTGCACATTTTGAGCCTCACTAGTCAGCTTAGAAGACCAAAACAGGCTTCAACTAGTTAACTAGTGAACATTTTGCCTTCACTAGTTAACGTGTAAGCTGCAATATGTATCCACTAGTTAACTAGTTGCCGTTCATATGGCCAACACGTTAACTAGTCAGCCATAGGCAAATGAAGCAGGCGGGACCCAGATTCTGATTGGTCAGTTCAGCTCTGTGAGGGAGAGCCTGAGGGGGGCGTTCTTCTGCGATGTTTTTAGCAAGGTCTTGAAGACGTGAGGTGCATCAGTCGGGTATTTAGTGCCTACTGTTAACATATTGTCCGTGGGAAGTCAGTCAGTGTGTGTTTTGCCTAGAAATATACATGTTTCTGCTTCTGCTTTGTTCCGCTTTGTGTGTGTGTTTTTGTTGGTGCGAATGTGCGCACGCTTGTGTGTGAGAACACCGGCACTCGAGACACAAAAGTAGAGGGAGTGATCGTGGGACATGTTATCAGCGGTGCTCAAGAAATGAATAAAGCTGAAACACTGGACAGATCTTAAAATCAGGGTAACGATAGATCCGTATGAAGATAAACAACCTCTCCATATTTGCCAAGACTAATATTTACGGAAGTCACGGCGATCTCTCAAAGCTGTGATCCGAAGAGGGTTACTTCCTCTTTCAATCCATCAATAATGTCCCTCTGTTATCACAATGCTATTCTAATCCAAGCACCTTTGAAATTGCAGCTTAATAAAATGTGTTAAAGAGGATCTATATTCGTGTCTGCAGTCCTAAGGCAACTTTCTAATTTTAACAAAGTCTTCAATGTTCTTACCGAATTTGATAAAGAGTCATATGATCATAATAACAAAATACTTTTGTTTTATATTTTTGTAAATATGGTCATATTTTAAAACACAGTGTATTTAAGCTCTTAAATAAACTATTTTGGCTGGGTGGCGCTCTATATCTTAGGGCCAATAGGAGACCTTGATGCGTTCTTTCCCCTCCTCCTCATTAGCATTCTGTGCAACTAGTGCGACTAGTGCGCATTTGGGATCCACTAGTTAACTAGTGAACATTTTAAGCCTCACTAGTTCACTAGTGGAATTTAAACTTCTCTCACTAGTTAACTAGTAAAAGGCAAAGGGTTCACTAGTTAACGTGTAGACATTTTGAGCCCCACTAGTTAACTAGTAAGGTCAAAAGAGGCGTCAACTAGTTAACTAGTGAACATTTTGCCTTTACTAGTTAACTAGTGAGTGATTCTGGGTGCGACTAGTTAACTAGTGCGCTGCAAAATCTCTGACATGTTAACTAGTTGTGCTTCTTTTGTGTGACTAGTTAACATGTCAGAGATTTTGCAGCGCACTAGTTAACTTGTAAGACTTTTAGGGTCACTAGTACGGTCAGAGGGCCACTAGTTCATCAAAAAGCTTACACGTTGGGACTTTGGTGCTACTAGTGCTGCTCCTGGCGTCACTAGTAAGGCATACGTGGTAACTAGTCGGACAAAAGTGCCACTAGTTGCTGAAAAAGAGCGACTAGTGAAATGTTTTATTCAACTAGTAAAGCAGAGTGCCTGACTAGTTTGACCATATATCTAACAAGTGAAATCAAAGAGCCAACTAGTGTAGTCCGCTGCCGTCTGATATCAAGGAAATTGAATAAATACTCAAATGGCTTGCCATACCACCATGGTGTGCTGTGCTGCCTCCTAGTCTCCACCATGGTGTGCTGTGCTGCCTCCTAGTCTCCACCATGGTGTGCTGTGCTGCCTCCTAGTCTCCACCATGGTGTGCTGTGCTGCCTCCTAGTCTCCACCATGGTGTGCTGTGCTGCCTCCTAGTCTCCACCATGGTGTGCTGTGCTGCCTCCTAGTCTCCACCATGGTGTGCTGTGCTGCCTCCTAGTCTCCACCATGGTGTGCTGTGCTGCCTCCTAGTCTCCACCATGGTGTGCTGTGCTGCCTCCTAGTCTCCACCATGGTGTGCTGTGCTGCCTCCTAGTCTCCACCATGGTGTGCTGTGCTGCCTCCTAGTCTCCACCATGGTGTGCTGTGCTGCCTCCTAGTCGCCACCATGGTGTACTGTGCTGCCTCCTAGTCGCCACCATGGTGTGCTGTGCTGCCTCCTAGTCTCCACCATGGTGTGCTGTGCTGCCTCCTAGTCTCCACCATGGTGTGCTGTGCTGCCTCCTAGTCTCCACCATGGTGTGCTGTGCTGCCTCCTAGTCTCCACCATGGTGTGCTGTGCTGCCTCCAAGTCTCCACCATGGTGTGCTGTGCTGCCTCCTAGTCGCCACCATGGTGTGCTGTGCTGCCTCCTAGTCGCCACCATGGTGTGCTGTGCTGCCTCCTAGTCTCCACCATGGTTTGCTGTGCTGCCTCCTAGTCGCCACCATGGTTTGCTGTGCTGCCTCCTAGTCGCCACCTTGGTTTGCTGTGCTGCCTCCTAGTCTCCACCATGGTTTGCTGTGCTGCCTCCTAGTCGCCACCATGGTTTGCTGTGCTGCCTCCTAGTCGCCACCATGGTTTGCTGTGCTGCCTCCTAGTCGCCACCATGGTGTGCTGTGCTGCCTCCTAGTCGCCACCATGGTGTGCTGTGCTGCCTCCTAGTCGCCACCATGGTTTGCTGTACTGCCTCCTAGTCGCCACCTTGGTCTGCTGTGCTGCCTCCTAGTCGCCACCTTGGTTTGCTGTGCTGCCTCCTAGTCGCCACCATGGTTTGCTGTGCTGCCTCCTAGTCGCCACCTTGGTTTGCTGTGCTGCCTCCTAGTCGCCACCATGGTTTGCTGTGCTGCCTCCTAGTCGCCACCTTGGTTTGCTGTGCTGCCTCCTAGTCTCCACCATGGTGTGCTGTGCTGCCTCCTAGTCTCCACCATGGTTTGCTGTGCTGCCTCCTAGTCGCCACCATGGTTTGCTGTGCTGCCTCCTAGTCTCCACCTTGGTTTGCTGTGCTGCCTGGGGATGCTCCAATCGCTCCGAGAAAGGAGTACGAATGTACGGCTTCCCCACTGACACAGAGCGGAGGAAAAAATGTCTGGCTCAAGTCAGCAGGAGCAATTTCACGACCAACAGCAAACAAAATATGTGAGGTAATTATATACAAACACTGCATTTGCACTTTTTCACAAAACGAAAACCA